GGAGATGGTTTAATCTGCCCTCAGTAAAAAAATGTCCATTGCCTGAAGACTGAGGAAGTAAAGATAAGGTGTGCAAAGAACACAAAGTCTGCAATTATCTAGAAGTATGTGTTTGTAGATTGTCATTATTAAACATTTCTAAAGGTGTGTTTTGTTATTTTAAAGATATGGGTAAAGGTCCACTTTAAATAAACTGCTAACAGCTATGAAATAGTGACATTCATTACATACTATTCTGGTCAACAATAATCCAACTCGTTACAACGGAAGGCCCGTAGTGATCACCAGTGGCGTAACTAGTGACCTCAGGGCCCCATGCAAGAATCCCATGAAGGGCTTGCAGGGTCTTTACAGGGATTAAACATGGGAGAATATGCATGTATTATAGAATATTACTGCAGGTTTGTTTGCCCTGAAATGCACATTAAAGCTGAACTCAAACCTTACCTTCAGTCTTGTACAGTTGTAAAGGCTACTTTCCTGTATTCACATTGCTTACTCTGATTTAATGGCACACAGTGAGCTTCTCACAGTGTGCACCAGAAGCTGCAGATAGAGCCCACCTCATTTCTGGGCTGGAGGACATCCAGCATCATCTAGATCAGGGGTCTCAAACTCAAATGTCCCAGGGGCCACTGGGCATATTTTCTTCTTGCATGGGGGCCGCATGAGGAGAGAGGGAGGAAAGACAGCTGGGGGGAGAGACAGCCAGAAGGATGAGCAAGGAGAGAGCCAGGAGAGACAGCCAGAAGGATGAGCGAGGAGAGACAGCAGGAGGAGGAGCGAGAGACAGGCAGGAGAAAAGATAGGCAGAAGAGTGAGGCGAGAAAGCAAGCAACACATCTACCTGAACTCTTGTGCCCTTTAACACTTATCTGCACCATGAGTTGCAAACACCTCCTGGCTCCCCAGGTTCCAGCATCCCTCCATGTCCCATGCCTTCATGCAATCAAGTTGGAGCGCCAGGACCCCATGCTTTTTCCCTATCCGCTGACATTGTGATATCTTGTATCCGGGCTGTCTTTGTGAATCGCAGACAGGTGGCAACCCTGGCTGTTGCAAAAGGTAAGAGGCCCCTCTGTGTTACCGGGCCCCCCTGCTGACCTGAAGGGGCAGGGGCATGGCCCAGAAGGGCTTGCTCTATCCCCCTACCGGCAGCCCTGCCTGTGGGCCGAAAGTAACCAGTCCACAAGCCGCAAATGGCCTGTGGGCCAGTACTTTAAGACCCCTGATCTAGATCTTTCCTCCCCAGCCTGCCTGTTCTTTTCCTTCCCCTTTTGTTGTATTTCATAATTTTCACTCATGGAGGCTCAATGTTGCCTAGGGTGATCTGGAAGCAAATAACAAAGAAGATTGAACATCCAAGCAATTGACTCTGGATCTGAAAAGATAATTCAGTGAGCTCCCCAGAATTTTTAGCTGAAATATAGACCATCTCCTGTCTCCCACTATCCCTGCCTGCAATGGGATATCCACATTATAGACTACATGAGCGTACTGGAATGACTTTGGCCTCCTTACAGTGTCAGTCCCACTGGAGAAGAAAAACATGTTTTAAAGCTCCCTGAGAGTCCAACATAGACATGGTTGCTGAAAGAATGTCTAAGGTGATACAGTCCTTTCTCAGACCTTTTTGGCGTTCATGAATGCAATCAGATTTGAGACAATGTTGTCTTTTTCTAGAATGACGCCTTCAGATAAATGCTTTGCTTTGTTCAGCCAGAAGATTTTGCATTGTTGCAGCCCGGGATTAAATAGAATGAAATGGGATTTTTACCATTTGCACAACATTCTCAACACTTTGTAGGTACAAAATACACTCTCACACAAGTTCTGGGTAGAACCACATGTGGCTGTAATTACAGCTGGGAATCATTTTGGGACAAATCTCTTCCAGCTTTGCACTCATGGACCCTACAATTGTTCTTGTTACTTACTTGAGTTCTGTAAGGTGTGATGACCAGACCACTGGTATGTCTCACCACAGATTTGGAATTTGATTAAGGTCTCGTTCACACCTAGGCGTATTGCATATGCGCGTCTGTCGCACATTTTTTACCGCGATTCGCGGTAAAAAAGTTGCGTCCGCGATTCGCGGCCCAAAGTAGTACATGTACCTTTTCAGGCGTGGGCCGTTTTGTAGCGCGTCAGGGACGGGCGGAAATACGCCAAGGTGGGAACGAGACCATTGAATACAATGGGATTTATATTTGAGCGTTTTGTAGGGCGTTCGTCGAGCGTAGAACGCGCTACAAAACGTTCAGGTGTGAACGAGGGCTAAAGGAGAACTATGAGGCGAGTGCTTTTCACTCACCTCATAGTTCTAGCCGACCTGTGACAATGAGACTGTCACAGGTCGGCTCAGTAGATCGGGAGGTGAGCGAACAGATACCGGCGTTCGCTCACCTCCTGATCCTGTCACGGCTCTCTGCCGTGACAGGGGAGGGGCTGGATTCCCCCCTCCGCCAGCGCTGACTGGCGGAATGGACGGGGGAGGGTACAGCTGGCTCTGCCTCTAGATAGGCAGAGCCAGCTGTCACTCAGGATCCGCTTCAGCGTCTCAGTATACCGCCATAGTTATCCTAACCCCATAGTTCTCCTTTAAGAGTCTGCCCTTTGACTAGACCATTCAGGGATTAGTTTTCCAATGAATCGCTAGCTGTATAGTAAGTCAGTGTCCTGCTGGAAAGTAAACACCCTAGTTTCAGATCTGTTGCAGAATAAAACGAGTGATCTTGTATTTGGTGCTGTTCCGTTTATCTTGTACTCAGTGTTGACCAATTTCCCAATCAGAGGCAATAAAAAAAGAATCTCCACAACATGGCATTTCACCAGGATTATACACCAAGCAGCCATAACATCGTGGCCAACTGCCTACTATTGAGTAGGTCCCGTTTTTGCTGCCAAAACAGCTCTGTCCCACCGAGGAATTGACTCCACTAGACCTCTGAAGGTATGCTGTGGTATCTGGCACCAAGCGGTCAGTAAAATATCCTTTAATTCCTGTAAATTGGGCCTCCATGGATTGCACTTGTTTTTCTAGCACATCCCACAGATGCTCAATTGGATCGAGATCTGTAGAGAACCTGGAGGCTAAGTCAACAACTCAAACTCGTTTTTATGTTCTTCAAGCCATTCTTGAACCATACAATTTCCATGAAGGGTGTACTTAATCAGCAACAGTATTTAGTTAGGTGGTACATCTCAACATCTACATAAATGGTAGGGCCCAAGGTTTCCCAGGACATCGCCATCAAAATATTTTTTTTCCAATTTGAGTTACAGTAGCTTATCTATTGGATTGGCTCAATGATCCTTGTCATCTATGACCCTGTCAACCGTTTTACTTCTGCGGACCACCATTAGTGGATCCTGACCACTGCAGACCAAGGACATCCCACAAGAGCTGCCGTTTTGAAGTTGCTCTGGCCCAGTCATCACAATTTGGCCCTTGTCAAAGTTGCTCAAATCCTTACGCTTGCCCATATTTTTCTGCTTCCAACACCCAACTTCAGGGACAAAAAAAATGTTCACTTACTGTAATATGTTCCACCCAGTTTCAGGTGTCATAACGAGATAATCAAAGTTCTTTATGTTACCTCTCAGTAGTCATGTTATATCTGATCGTGTGTATTGGTTTGTACCAGCTGGTGAAGTCTTGAAGTCAGGTGTATTGCAACACAACCTTAAAGTGACACTAAACTCAGGAGTTCAAATCTTAAAATTACATTTAAGTTCCTTAACTATAAACAAAAATGTAACTTGTGTATCACTCAGCTGTAGATCCTCAAATCATTCCTGAATTGGTGCGGACACTGTCCTTCCTTCTGGAGGGTGGCTACTTTTCTTCCTCATGATCCCTGCGTGTGTTGTAAAGTAGCCACCGCTCCAAGCTCACACCTGTGATGGACTACAATGTCATGTTTAGTTTACCAATTTGCATTGAGATTGTAGTCCATTACAGGAGTGATATTGGAGTGGTGACTACTTTACAACACACACAGGGACCATGAGGAACAAAAGTAGTCACCCTCCAGAAGGAAGGACAGTGTCAGCATGAACTCAGATGATTTGAGGATCTACAGCCGAGTGATACAAAATAAGGCTGTAGTGTAGTAGTTATTAGTTAGGGTACTAGAATGCATTAAGATTTACCTCCAGAGTTTAGTACCAATTTAAAGGAGAACTATGGGGTGAGTAAAATACACTCATCCTCAGTTAGAGCCGACATGTGACATTAAAACAGTCATACATCGGCTCTATTGATTGGGAAGTGAGTGAAAACATACCACCGATCTGCTGACTTACAGATCTCCCTGCAGTGAGCAGTGATCATTAGTCAATGCTCCTCGCAGGGATCCCCCCTCTGCGACCCTCCAGCACTGACTGGAGGGACAGACAGGGGAGGGGACGGGTATAGCTGGCTCTACCTGTAGAGGCAGAGCACGCTTTCAAAATCGACAGTATTGTTGGAAAAACATCCCGGTTGCAGTCCTCCCAGCATATAGCAGGCAATAGCTCCACTATATGCTGAGTTTTGCCATATAGTTCTGCTTTAAAGGCTCTATATACAGAGTATTGTATAGTCTTCATGGTCTTACTATGCTAAACATTGCAAACAGGTGAAATATGGTAGTGATGAATACAAAAATATAGGAACTTCCACTTTGAAGTTGTGCTGTAATGACATTCCCCCGATGAACTAAGACAGTATGAAAACTAAGTTAGACTGAAATGTACAATGTTGGGATTCCCAGATTTAGAATTACATTTAAAGTTTATGTAAAGACTGAAATTTGTACCTCTTATACTGCCACAGACTCAAGTGCTTCATTTGTGGGAGCATAACCCTGTAAACACTCCAAGCTACTATGGCAGCCTGAAATCTGTTTACATGTATGCAGCAGACAGACACCTTTGTACTGCAAGTGATTTGGGTGGTAAAGCCATCTGATGACTTGCAGCAGGAGCACGGGAAAAGACAAAAGGAAGCCTTTAGGAGGTTTTTAAAGTTTATTCTGTAAATTATGCATGGAATATTTTTAGTTCTCCTTTTCTTGCACAGTCTTTGTGCCGCGCAGACGTCCAGTACGACGAGCAGCAATAAGACCGACTTTGCGACCAGCTGGAGCATCTCTCCTGATAGTTGAAGGTTTGCCAATGTGCTGATGGTTACCGCCACCGAAGGGATGTTCTACAGGCTGTGGAGAAATCAGGGAAAGGGTCAGTTAGGTTTCTTTAATGACCATCAAAAGAAATACACTGAACATATATGCTGCCCAACAAGTGGTTATGAGTTCCGCCCTTTTCTTTATTGCAATGCATCGGAAGTGTTCAAATAGCAATATTAAACTAAGCAAACATTCTTATTGTAGACCTGTAGCCAGTTTCTTGGGCGTCAGTACACATCACCATTATGTACAGTACTCATTACCACTGTACAGTATACTGCTAATTCAGCAGTCATGGTTTGTAATGCCGTGCACATTGTTGGTATAAACAGAATTACAAGGCTGCCAAACTAACCAAGGAGTATCTGTATTAATCAAGGCAACTGGACTTGCTGTATTTTTCTTGCAGACATTTCACTGGCCATCCAATCAGCTTTCTCAATTCAGAATGACTTATACAAAAATTATCTGGGAATAAATATAAAAAAAATACAGCAAGTCCAGTTGCCTTGACTTATTTTTTTACAGCTATACCATGACCTGGATGAACGAGAACCTTCAGACATATCCAAGGAGTTTTCTTCTCTGTAAGGCTTTGAGATGGGAGGAGCAAAAATACTTCCCATTCTTAAAGGGTATCATGTTAAGTTGTAATGAAGGGACAGAATATCTTTCCAAGTGGTTATTCTGTCTCATTGTTACTCCACTGAAGCCCGAGTGTCCAGAGCTTGTTCTGACAAAGGCTAAAAGCCAAAAACAGCTGTATATGCAAGACTGTTCTATTGCTTGAGCCCATAATCTGTGCTACACTCTGGCACTTCTGTGTGCAGTGAGCCACTATAGTAAGTGTTGCATGGCTTGGGACAAACCTTGACTTTGATAACCTCACAAAAATTAAGGTGCCAGAAAAATGTTCCTACGGGACTGGGAAGTCACAGGACCTTTTCCACAAACCACAGCATGCTGCTTCCATTCCACTCCTAGCATCAGCAGGGCTAGGGTATTAGACACTGGGTATCCAAAAGGCAAAGGTTGAAGTACAGTGAGGCGAAAGCAGGGAGTGTCTACACTTCAAACAAGGAGGGTGGAATAGATCAAAGATATAGGACTGCACTGGGGATAATGTGACATTTAATGAGAGCCCAGAGTTAGAGGTGGCAGGGTGTTTAGAAGCTGGGCTTGCATATTGCAATTCAAGTACTAGCACATCTATCTAGATGCCACGGGATGATTTAGTGAGCCAGGCGGCTTCATATACTGTACTGGCCAGTGTGGCATGCCTACACCAAGATTTTACATCAATGCTCTACCTGCAGGATAAAGCACTGACCAAAGACTCCCCACACTGGTCATTATTACAACAGCTTTGACCCTGCCATCAAGGAAAAAAAATGCTGCAGAGGTACTCCACTGGTGATCAGAGATCTATATGAATGCCAAGTAGGGGACGTTTACAGGCAGAACTGCTATACATGGTTATTGTGTCAGATAGTGTCACATGATGACTCCATAATAGGAATGCATCACTGCTAAAATCTGATCTTCACATATAATACAATTATCTTCATCTCTTTTCTAAATATTTGAAGAAACAAGGTTATCTACCAGGAAATGAAGAGATTTCCTCTCACTGCTTGGAGAGGAAGTAAACGGAAGTTTTCCCCAATGAGGTCAAAGTCAACAAAAACCTGTTTGAGGTTCTAACTTTACACCACTCTACACACAACGTAAAGTTTTGGCTTTGTACTATGTATCTCCTCCAATGGAAGGGATACTGCTGGACCCTTCAATAACTGGCGTTTCATCTGCTTGTAGTAGCTAAAGCCATCTTAACACCAAATTCAGCCTTTGAAAGGGAGAAGTTTTGTGCATCAGGTCTCATCACAAGGGGCAAATAGAAATGAAAGGCATAGAGTGTTCTCTGATGAATTAAGTATTACCACTTGTGATAGAACCCAATGACACACTATCCAAAAAAGTGACGGCCACTACATGCAAAAAGCTTTGCCTCTGAACAAGGCCCAAACATAATAGTCTTTATAAAAAGGTAGAACATATTGTGAAGATTTGGGATGACATGAAAACTTACATTCATAGCCACACCACGGACACGTGGCCAGCAGTTTCTCTTAGCCTTGTATTTGTGGTAAGCACGACCTGCCTTCAGGATGGGCTTGTCAATACGTCCACCACCAGCAACAACTCCTGCATTTGGAAAACATGAAATCAGCGGGTAAGGGAGTGGCAGTTTGCATAGAAGCAAGGAGTAAAAGGCTTGTAAATGAAACACAAGGCTAACAAGGCTGAAGCACTCACCAACAATAGCTCTGTTAGCAGAAGCGATAACCTTCTTGGAGCCAGAGGGCAGCTTCACTCTGGTTTTCTTGGTTTCAGGATTGTGGGAGATGACTGTAGCATAATTGCCAGACGCACGGGCCAGCTTGCCACGATCACCTGGCTTCTCCTCCACACAACACACAATGGTTCCTTCGGGCATGGTGCCAACGGGGAGGACATTGCCAATGTTTAGTTGAGCTAATAAAAACGAAACAAAAATAAAATTAGCATAGAATCAAGTATTGCAATAGCAACAGTAAAAGATTTTACAAACACTTAACCAAGTTGTAGATCAGGCAGTATGCAGACCCCGGACATTCACAGATCAGAAGAATTCATGAGCCTGCCACTGCTGACCACTTCAATAATACTAGTTATCCGTCTGCTATTTCAGCCCATTGGTGTCAATATGCAGAAAAGATTCTTTTAAAGAAAGAAAAGTGGGGTTTTGAAAGCACCAGATAATGACAACTCCAAACAGAAAAATATATGAAAAATATTTATTTCGTATAAATCTTAAAGAAAAAGGGGGCTTAATGCCAATAATAAAAATGATTAGATAGATAGTCCCTACAAAGCTCTTTCCACATACACAATACCTCTCCATTCACAAAACCAACATGATGCACCCTATGTTCTTATGGACATAGGGTGTCCATAGTTCAGTTAGAGATCCGCATGATTCCTCATCCAACTTGATGGAAAATCATGCGGATCTCTAACTGAACTAGCATTGTCTTTTGTATCCAATCATGTTCGAAAAGTTGTTCCTATTTACCAATTGAATCATGTCTTGTTCCTAGGGTCACACTCTGCTCCTAGGGCAGTGCTAGCGGAGAGCATTATTCCATTCCACAGCCCTACGAACATCCTTGTAAGGGCCTCTCTGTATGTATTCTGGTCATTGGCACTTTAACCCCAATCATGTATGTCCATAAGAACATAGGGTGAATCAAGTTGGTTTTGTAAATGGAGAGGTATTGTGTATGTGGAAAGAGCTTTGTTAGGGACTATTTAATTTAATCATTTTTATTCTTGGCATTGAGCCCCCTTTTCTTTTTTAAGATTTATACGAAATAAATATATTTTTCTGTTTGGAGTTGTCATTATCTGGTGCTTTCAAAACCCCACTTTTCTTTCTTTAAAATAATCTTTTCTGCATACTATTACCAGGGGTGTGGCACCTAATATCCAGATCAAAATCTTTACCCAATTGGTGTCAATAGTCACTAACCTGGACCGAACTTACAACCTAGAGAAGCTTAAGTGCTTATCTGCAGAACAGTTTTACATTATTCAGTTGAACCTTTTTGGATCAGCATGACCGCTAACATTTTCAAAAGGAAAAAGTCAATGGCAGCTTCCAGGTTTTTCTCATAACAGGTTCTCTTTCAGAAAAAGACAACTGTAATCAATGAGACCATATTGGATATTTGAAAACAAGACTCACAATCATTACTAGAAGTTAAGCTTAATAGAGAAAAGTACGCTTAGGAAACAGCAGGCTTAAAAGAGGAATTATGGGGAGTGTGAGAAAAAAAAAACCCAACTAATCCCCAGAATTCAAGCTGACCTGTGAGTCAGCTCTATAGATCAGGAAGTAAACACAACGCCAGTTGCTGACTTCCCAATCCTCTCCCTGCAGAGAGCGGTGACTGCCAGTCACTGCTCCTCGCAAGGATTCCCCCCTCTCGTCAACCCTCCAGAACTGACTGGGGGAACGGACGGGGGTGGACACACCTGGCTCTGCCTCTAGATGGGGTGGATCTTGACAGTATTGTCAGGATCGGTCCTGGCTGCAGCGCGGCTCTGCGTTATCAGCATGTAGTGGCAGTAGCCCGATATATACTGAGTTTTTCAGTCACTGGAGTACATTCATATATGTCCACCTGTGAGGAGCCTGAAGAGAACTATAGCATAAACAGTTTGCCCCATAGCTCTCCTCTAATACATTGATTGCCAACACAATATCTTACAAAAACATTTGCGGCAAAAAATAAGCGATGTGTATAACGTGTACTTGTTGTCAGTTCTATTTGCACCACCCACCAACTGATGTCTTCGCACAAGCTTAATGGGTTTTATGTACTCTAAATTTGAAGTGCTTTCCCGGTCATCATTTCTTTTCAGGATGAAACCCCCACCTTACCTTTCTTGCCACAGTACACAAATTGACCAGTGTGGATACCCTCAGCTGCAATGAAAAGTTCAGTCCTCTTTTTGAATCTGTAAGGGTCACGGAAGGCAACTTTAGCAAGTGGAGCACCACGGCCAGGATCGTGGATAATGTCCTGAAATAGAATAAACATTTATTTTCATAAGTTTTTGTATTTAGTAGAGAGGATCGCTGTCCACGAGCATTTTATGCCGGCTCTTCCTAGCAAAACTTTAAGAGCCTCTGTCCAAGATTAAATAAAATCAGACAGAAAGACCCTGAAAAACAATGCTGGATGCTTAGCTTTGTGCCAGGTGACAAGACATCATCTCTCCTCTCTTGGGGAGCCATGATCACCCTTGCTGTCTGACACACCTGAGTGCATCATATAGTCTGTCCCCCACTCCGTTCATACATCGGACAAACCTAAAAGTGTCAGACAGCAGCGGAAAAAGGGAACTATATAACATTTTATCTTTGTGACAAGAGCATGTGAAACACACTGTAACAAAGTCCGACAACGTTAACCCCTACATAACCAGGGGTTTCTTCTGTCTGGTGTACAGATTGATTGTAATCAGGGGACAAGGATTATTGTCTTTTCTTCAATAGCTGTAAAGTGCATGGACATAAAATCGAGGAAATTGTTATTCAGCCAAGTTACCCAACATCTTGAAAACAAGTCTGGTTGCTTGTGCCTATATATCTCTATATATTATTTCCTATTAGCACCTGTTATCAGGGACAGCTAAAAGATGCACATGGAGTCTGAGAGACCAACACAGAGGCGGTGTTCTCACACAGCCGCACTTCCTGCTTTTATTTTAACATCTGAATTTTTATTATAGATGATAGTAAATAACAGTATTACAGGAATGTACATCATGAAGGTATGCATCAGGTATATAGATTCGAGTTGTACAAAGTTGTTCATTACTGTTTTGTGTTTAACTTAGTGAATTATCACAGGCTCTATAAGGGTACAAATGATCTGTAAACCTGGGCGTTTCGGAGCACACACATGGAATGGATTGTCTAGGTTGTGGTTGCTTTCTTGTTTCTTCTGAGAATAAGGTCCATTGCCCGTAGGGAGTACGTTTTCCCCCATGTGTGTCTCCAGATACTTCCTGCTTTTATATAGTAATATGTGGCTTTTGTTATTGATTTACATCGAGAATGACAATTTATCAAAATATTTTTCTTATTTGAATTCCATTTCTCCCAACGGAAATCAACCAATTATATACGGGGACTGTTTCACTGCTAGGAGGTTTTCATTTTATTTTGCACTAGTTGTACCAAATTTACAGAGTAGTCATAAGGGGAATTTTTCACAACTGGAGATAAACTAAATCTAGAGCAGTTGCCCAGGGCCACCAATCAGCTTCTCTCTTCAGCTTGTTAATTTAAGATTTGAAAATGAGAGAAGCTGATTGGTTGCCATGCACAGCTGCTCCAGTTTTGATCAATTCCCCTGTGTATTTATCTGATACAACAAGGTCTTTGGTAAATGACAGTGATCACCAGCTTAGGATCCATGGAATTGACTTACTAAAGGCAAATAGGATGTTCATTATGCAAAGGAATATTCCTTTAGCTTAGTACCATGTGCAAGGAAATAAAATCATATTCTTGCTGGCACATGGTTAGATGATGGAAGTCAGCAGAACTTCACATCATTCACCAAGCTAAGGGGAAACTCCCCTGTAAGGTGAACAGCCTATTTGCCTTTAGTAAATCAACCCCCAATGTGTATAGTTCGTGCACCACTGTGACTAACATGTTCACAGCAAGCACACAACGCACAAAAACATGTGAAAAACTTTGTGTGCAGCATTCACATGCTAGCTTGGAAATGTACATATACAAACCTATGTCTTAGTAGACGAATGCCCCTGAAATGAAGGCACAGGTCGATGCCAATTGATCACTACGGGCAGCATTAGATAAATGGTACTTACTTTCACAATGCCCTTGATGTAGCCATGCCTTTCTGCGAAGTCGACAGCCCTCAGCTTAGCAGCACCCTTCCTGTGCTTTACATGGGCTTTGAAAACAGACCCCGCACCTTTTCTCTGTCCCCTGATTACACGTCCCATGGTGCACTACAAGACAAATACATATAGAACACACATTACATGAGGTTAATGTACATTGATATAAAAAGCCAAAATAAAATAAGTGAGGGGGGAACCAACACAACACCACATCTGCTGATTGGAAACACTTGGATCCAGAAGTTTACACAATCACTTCCGGTTAGTAATATGATCAATCCCTCTATATTCAGCAACACGTAAAGCCCATCTCCAGGAAAGAACACACACAATGAAAACTACTCCCATCTATGCTGATCTTGCCATCAGAAGCCAGCATGAGAAGAAACACATGTCATGATCTATAAGTGACGTGCGATTATCCATATGTACAGCGTCTAAAAGTGTCATTGTTCATCCACATTATGTGTAGGAAGGTAAAACTTGCCAAGATACTCATCTTAAAAGTGGGATTTGCCCCCCCCCCCCCAAGCATACAGACCTGAAAGTGCCATATTTTGGCATCCATATGCCTGACTACTTGGGCAAGTGTATTATTTGACCTTACTAGAAAACATAGTAACATGTGAAGAAGATACTAAAATGATTGTACACAACACACATGCATGTGAAATAAGCAATGGCAGGACTGCTTCATATCATTATGAGGGAATTTACTAACACTGGTTGTTAAGCACAGCTTCTCCAATCAGCTGCCATCTTCTACTTGTTCAGGTCAGCTTTGACAATGAAAGCTAGAAGCTGATTGGTTGCCACTAGCAACTGCTCCAGGCAGTGCAAATCCCCCGTGTTCGCTCAATGCCGAGAACATAAGTGCCGAAGCCCGTTCACTCTACACACCGCTCGGACTCTCAGTACAATGTTGTCATAGACAGAAAACACAGACGGCTTTTACACACAGCACCGTCACCCCTCAGTCACCGAGCCGGCCCGGCACCCGACTAACATTGATATAAACGTCAATCCCTCACCCAATCCCGCCAATACCCCGTCTAATAGGCCCCACAGGAGAGCAACCACCTCTCCTCAGAGACAAAGTAGACGAATGAGGCGGGATGGCTGCGCTTTACAGCGGATTAGAACACGGAGACATGGAGTTATCCTCCTACCTAGGCCTGGGCTGTCCACGAAGAGGAAGTTCCCAGCACCAAGAGGCGGATTTCTTCCGGAGAACGAGATCGCGCAAGGCTACCTGGGAAGACACGTCACGACGTGAAACCTCGGAAGCCATATTGGAATTGGGCAATGCCTTTAAAATGAGTTATTATTTTATTGTTATGTTATGAATTCATTAACTCCCTTCCAGTGAACTCGGTGCTATTAGTAAAAACGTTTTCTGACTTCTAGGCAGTAATATGTCACTGCTGAACTCTGGAGGGGATGAGGAAGATATGTGTTCCCAACAAACTTTACAGTAGTATCGTGCCATGTCAGCTAATGATTATTGCAGAAAGTTTAAAGAACAACTCCAGGAATTAAAAATAAAACCATACCATTATATTGATTGCGGCTACTCCCGCACTGCGAGGGTTATGTGTTTGTTTTGTCTAGGAGGCTCAAATAAAGCAAATTAATAGAGATGCACTGATATATCGGCCGCCAAAACATATCAGCCGAAAATGGCACTTTTGGCTAAATGCCGAAAGTGCCATCTTCTGGCCAATACAGTGGTGCATCCCATTCTCTCCTCCCCGCTGGGCGCTGCTCTGTGTCCCAGCGGGAGGAGAGAAACTGTGACAGGCTGCCGAGCGCTGCGGGAGGAGAGCGCTGTGAGCAGCCAGAGTCTCTACTCCCACACCGCTCAGCCGCCTATCACAGATCGGCATTAGACATGAGGACACTGAGAGACATTCTACCAACTGGAAGGAAGAGGAAGAAGAGGGAAGTGCTCACCAGTACACAAAAATGAGCACTTAACTTTTGCAGCGTGTAGGTAGCTGCTCTGCTAGGGTTTTTTGTTGTTGTTTGCCCGGAGATGGACCTTAAGTTATTAAAGATGCAAGCTTTTGGGATTCCTTAGATCCCTTCTTCAGGCTTCTGCAGGTAGAAAGCCAAACAAAGGAATCTAAGGAATTTTGAAAGCTTGCACCTTAAATAATTGAAGTCAGCCAATAAAGGGTATCACTTAAATTCCGAACTTTCTGTAAAAAGCTGCTTAGACATTATAACCCAATGCCTCTTGGGGAGAGGGGTATTGATAAAGCTCCATTTCAAAAAGCATTTCCGTGTTGCCTGCTGACATTTCAGTATATTTTTTAATGTACAGTAATTTATCAAAGAGTAAAGAGAATGTGAACATTAAAGGGGCTATTAATAATGGAAAAATTGATAGAATCCAACGCAGCCCCTTTTAGGCATAAACCTTCGGTGAAGGTCCAAACTTTAAGGGCGTGTTCACACTTCCAATATGGTGCATTCATGCACATGCATTAATTTGTGTTAAGACAGCCCTGCCATTTATCAGTAGGCTGCCAACACACCACAATGGATAAAGAAATGAGAATGTTCCTTTTTTTTTTTAAATCACAGCACAATGCACAATATATGCGTTATGGTGCAGTAGGGTGCATTGTGCTGTACTGTAAAATCGGTTGGGGTGTCATTCACAATGAACAGCACCACAACGGACTGCACATCAATATAGCAAAGCAGAGAATGGAACTTGCCAGTACATAATGCCTGTGACATTTCGGGCCATTAAGGACAGTGCCTGAGGAAGGGGTCCTCAGTGGCCTTGAAACATTGCACACATTATGTGGTGGTAAATAAATAATGAATTCTCTGCTTTGCAACAGTTGGGGTATTGTGACATTTATAAACTTTGAATTACGTATATTAATAATGAAAAGTGCATCCTGCCCTCAACAGAACACTGCGCCTGTATTTAAAGCCAGGTATACACACTTAGAATTTCGGCTGCTTCTTGATGAACTGATCAAAGATGCAGGTTGTAAAATTCTCAGCTAAAAGGAGCTAGTAGCCAATCAGCTGCTAGCTCTATTCGGGTATTGTGACAGCAGCCGCTGGCTGCTAGGAAACAGTGGGGAATTCCTCTATCAACGCTCGTAAACGTTGTTCAGCCCGCGGTTTAAATGAAAAATTGAACAGTGTATATCAGATCGAGAGAGCTCCTGGCCGGCCGTTTTTTTACTACGGCCGGCCCGGAGGTAGTTAAGCTATTGTGTGGAGAGTGCAGTGTCTTTGTGTAATGCTGCAGGAGAGCTCAGCCCTATGACTTTAACGGGTCATGCATCCAAATTTTTTTTAGAATGTCATTTGGAATTAACTTGTGTTGTTAAACATTAAAATAAAATAAAAAAGCAGCGTGCAGTCCCCTCCCCAATTCAAACCAGACCCTTTACGTCTGGTAGAAATTTTAGGGGGGACCCCGACGCCCCCAAAAAAATTAGTGGGGTGCCCCCTAAAAATCTCTTACCAGACCCTTGATTCGAGCAGCAGACTGGGAGAGCAGAAAAGGGTAGGGAATGAGTGTGCATGCGCACCCTCCTCCTGCAACAGACAAGGCCACATGCCCTCAACATGGGGAGGGTGCTTTGCCAGGGGGGACACACCTGGAAAAACAACTTGTCCCCATGTTGATGATGTCTGCCCCACAACCCTGGCTGGTTGTGGTGGTCTACGGACAGGGGAGCTTATCTGAATCTGGGTGCCCCCTTTCATAAAGGGGGCCCCCAGATGCCGCCCCTCCTCGTGAATGAGTAAGGGGTGGTTGTTACCCCTATTTATTCACCAAATAAACAGTAACATTGTAAACACACAACACCGTATACAAAGTCTTTAAACAAAAACAAACAAAAAAAAGTGTCCATCGATGTAATCCCAAGTTCAATCACGTTGTCCAGCAATTGTTGATCCTCGTCAATAACGATGGGCACCGACTCGCTGTAAGAAAAAATACCCAACTCCAGCCAACATGACTGATCCTGACGAACTCTTGCCGCAAAATGACAGCTCTGACCCAAATGTCAACAAAGCCCCAGAGCGAGTAATGACACCACGGGACTTGTTCCGTCCCTTTGTTGACATTCAGGAGCAGAACTGTCATTACGATAGCTCTGCTCCTGAAATTTGTAGTTTCCTTCTGCAGGAATCCCAAATTGCATAGTGTGAGTAAGTTCTAGGTTTATTAGAAACTATGTTGCTAGAGAGTATTAAAGATGCATAGGATGATTCAAATGGCATCAGGAAAAGCTGGGCCACTGATTCACAATAATTATTGCGGTGCGGTGAATAGGGTCATATACAGACATTGACAAATTTGTTGGTATCCACGAAAAATGAAGAACCAACAATTTAAAATAACTAAACTAACCAAAGTAATTGACATCCATTATAGTTTATTTCATATTAATTAAATCCCATATTAATCAGAATTTGCTTTCGATTTTTTGATTCAACAACATATTTTAAATATTAAAACAAATGAAAATGACCGTGGGGACCGTGACCGTGAACCTAACATTATGTTGCACAACCTTTAGAGGTAAATACTGCAAAAAAGCGATTTCTGTAGCTCTCAATGAGACTACTGCACCTGCCAGCAGGTAGGTAGTTTGTCCCATTCTTCTTGAGTAAACTGCTCCATCTGTCTCAGGCATGAAGGGTGGTTTCTCCAGACTGCATGTTTCAGCTCTTTTCATAGATATTTGATAGGATTCAGATCAGAGTTCATAGAAAACCACTTAAAAATACAGTAAACTCCCCATTATTCAGCATTCACACAACTGGCACTCTCAAGCTACCTGCAAAAAACTCCACATATTATGTCCTTGATTTTTTTGTTGGTTTCTTGATAGGCATGTGCACACGAAAAAAATTTGTTAGCAACTACATTTATTTAGCTGCTAACGAAATTCTCTGTTTACATTATCTGAAATTCTCTCTTTACATCTAGATTCCGCAGCCGACAACTGAATGTAAACAATGGGCAGTGGGCAGGATCAATTGCCAGCCTACTATTGGCTATTTCAAATTGCAATAGCCAATAGCAGGTGGGCTATTGCACTGCTTGCTGTCAATGAGTAGAGGAGTGGACCCGTGGGGGGGAGTTGCTTGAGAGTTAATAGCAACTCTCAAGCAACCATAAACAACAGTTATCCAGCATCTACCAATCCACATGGGTGCCGGATAACTGGGAGTTTACTGTAGTCCAATGTTTCGGTTTTAGCAATTCTTGGGTGCTTTTAGCTGTACGTTTTGGGTGATTATCCTGTTGGAGGACCCATGACCTGCAAATAAGACAGAGCTTTTGGACACGGGGCATTAGGTTTTGCTCCAGAATTCCTTGATAGTCTTGAAATTGAATCATGACCTGCACAGGTTAAAAGACATCCTGTGTGGGACACAGTAAAAAGCAGCCCAAAATATAACCAAGCCTCCTTCATGTCTCACAGTTAGTATGGAAAGGAGATAAGTCTAGAAACAATATGGAGTGTCAATATACATTTTAGAAAATTCCAGTCTGGCTTTTTTATGTCTTACTTTGCCTGACTGCCTTGCTATGTTTGCCTGATGAAGAGACCGTTAATGGTTCCTAGAAACTTTTGGACGATTTCTTAAGGGACCGTAATATACAGGGGTACAGGTAATATACAGGGGTACAGGTACTCCTAGAATGAGATCCTAATAGGTTGGACTTGATGGACTAATGTCTTTATTCAACCTCAAATACTATGTAACTATGTATATCACTCGGTGATGCTAAAATGAGTACTAAAATGTCTATATAAAGCAGTGTTAATACAGCCAAAAGTCAATATATAACAGGGACCCACAAAAATAGCCTTGGATTACATAAAGGTCGAACATGCTAATTTGTGTCTATGCTACATACAAAGTTGTCTGCCAGCATATGCAGTTCAATTTCCAGATAGAAATCCTACCACACATGCACCAGTGTCTATAATTAGGTAAGGTATTTAAAGTGGTGGTGTAGTTGCAGCTGTGGGATCTACAAACTAAATACATTTACAAATGTTAACAAACTTCTTGGTACCCTTACAGATCATTAAAACGATGGTTCATTCCTCCTGAAAAGTGATACTATAAAAGCAATAGTCTAATATATACCTGCATGTCTTTGGTACATCGTAGAGTACAGCAAAGAAAGTGTTAAAAGGTAAATGATTGCTTATTCTACAAAGATATTCTAAA